ACTTTGTCAATTTAATTTTCCCAGTCTACATGAAGATTAAAGTCACCCATGATTAACGTACTGCCTTTTTTTTACATCCCCTCATTACCTCCTGATTTTAGAATCGGAATATCCTTTTTTGTCAAATGTACTCCAGTTTCTACAATGACTGCCTTTAATGGTACCTTGTTACGTGCAAATACATAGGTACAAATCTTAGAGTTTAAAATAAAAGTGTTGTTACAGAATAAAAAAGAACATAGATCAGCATGAAAGAGTCCAGATGATGATAAATGCCCATAAATACTTAAGTTCCAGTCCGTGTCTACAGGCTCCAGAGCACAAGGCCACACTGCCTCCACGTGTAGGTCTCCATCACGGGCTCACTCCGCCATGGGGCCCAGCTTGTACACATTTTGCTCCATCGTGGCACGCAGCCCGCTAAGTCCACTCCGCCACAGGACATGGCCCACTTGGTCCTATAATAACTATTGCTAGGAGACATGTCAACTCTTCTTATTCCTCTTGTTACTTGCATTTGTTTGGATTGTACACTTTTCGATCAAAGATCATTTTTTGCTCTTGCACTTATTCACCTTGTACTAGCAAAATTACCCCACCACCCTTTCCTTCCTGCCTGTCACAGTATCACAGAAAAGGTAGGAGGCAGAAGGATGCCATTCAGTTCATGGTGCCTCAGCAGCTGGTTAAATAAACATCATTACCTAATGCCAATCTTGTTTTTACCCCATATCCTTGCAGATTATTTTTATCCAAATGAGCATCCAATGGCCTCTCAAATGGTGCAATTGAACCTGCCTCCACCACATTTCCAATAGTGCATTTCATTTTCTAGCTACACATTGAGTGAAAAATGATTACTTCACTTCACCCTTGCTTCTTTAAATCTATTTCCTGTTCCTTTTACAAGTGGGAACCTGTGCTACTTGTCTACCCTGTTCAGCCCACACTTGATTATGAAAACCTCTTATCAAACATTCACTTGGCTTTGTTCTTGCCAAGGAGAACAGTCCCCACTTCTTCAATCTATTCTCATAATTGAAATTTCTCACTCCTGGAACCATTCTTGTAAACTACTTCTGCACACACTCCAAAGCATTCGCATTCTTAAGTCTCTAAGACTTAGGAACAGAATTAAGCCATTCAGCCCATTGAATTGAATGGAATAAGTATAATAAGAAGGAGATATTGCTAAATACTATACAAGGCACTAGTTAGTCCACACCTAGAATACGGAGAGCAGTTTTGGCCCCTTATCTATGAAAAGATATACTGGCATTTGCAGAAGCCCAGAGAGTGTTCACTAGGTTGATCCCAGATGTGGTAGAGGTTGAGTAGTAGATGTTGGTGTGTTCGCCAAGCTGGGAGGTTTGCTAGCAGACGTTTCGTCCCCTTACTAGGTGACATCCTCAGTGCTGTGGAGCCTCCTGTGAAGCGCTGTTGTTTTGTGCTGGTTCAAATTTATATGGTCTGGTTTTTGCTGCTTCTGGTAGGTGCCGGCTCCAGCTGTGCATTGTAATGGTCGGTATATCAGGTCTAATGTGTTTGTTGATGGAGTCCATGGATGAATGCCACGCGTCCAAGAATTCCCAGGACAGGATGAATGTGGCTTACAGGATACCATGTGGAGACTGCACAAAACACCATGTGGGACAAGCTGGCAGACAGCTAGCAACCCACATCCACGAACACCAACTAGCAACTAAATGACACGACCAGGTGTCCCTGGTTTAAATACACACCGACGAGAAAAACCACACTTTCAACTGGGACAACACTGCTATCATTGGACAAGCCAAACAGAGGACAACCAGGGAATAAAATGGAGGCTTGGCATTCATCCATGGACTCCATCAACAAACCCATTGAATTAGACCCGATAGACTGACCATTACAATGCACAGCTGGAACCGGCATCGACCGGCAGCAGCAAAAACCAGACCATATAAATTCAAACTGGTACAAGACAACAGCACTTTACAGGAGGCTCCACAGCACTGAGGATGTCACCTAGTAAGGGGACAAAACGTCTGCTATCAAACCTCCCAGCTTGGCGAACACACCAACATCTACATCCGGCACCCAAGGTACAAATTTTCACTCAAACCCTAAAAGAGCTTGAGTAGGTTGGACCTGTACTGTTCAGAATTTAGAAGAATGAGAGGAACCTTATTGTAACACACAAGATTCTGAGTAGAAGAAGGGTAGATGAAAAGTGATTGATTGTTCCCCCTTGTGGGAGAGCCTGCGACCACAGGGCATAATCTGAGTTAGAGATTGCCCAGTTTGGACATAAATAAATGAGAACCTCTTGGTGAAGGATAGCAAATCTGTGAAATCTTTTACTGCACAGTACTGTCAAGGTTGGGGTAATAAGGATATTCAAGGCTGAGAAAAATTTTTAATCAGTAAAAGAATCCAAGGCTTATGGGGAAAAGAAGGAAATAGACTTGAGTATTGTTTGATCAGTCGTAATTTCATTGAACAGCAGAGTAGACACAATGGGCAAAATGGCCTATATATGCTCCTGCGTATTAGAGTCTTGATTTTTATCCTCCCTTTGATCGGATTTGCTGGTATTTTTCCAGTGTTCGTGCACTCTGTCCCTCCTGTCCCATTCTGATTATCATAACCTGAATAGTTACCTTGCAGTGCTGTCATCCTTTAGCTTTGTAAGCCTATGCTTCCCTTCTCCCAAGCACACTTGTTTGTATTTAGTAATACATCCACTTGTACAGTGCCTTTGATATGGAAAAACATCACAGGGTACTTTACAGGAGGGTAGTCAGACAAACTTTGACACTGAGTCAAAGAAGGCACCAGGATAGGTTTGTCAGAAATAAGAGAGGCGTGGTTAACTTTTCAGATCCTTGACATCCCCTGATGGAAAAACATGCTGGCTCTGTACATTTATTTGCTCAAACCTTTCTTGATCTGTTGAGTATTTCCAACATTTCTGCTCTTGTTGGAAATTAGTACTGTCCATAGTCTTCCTATCTTCCTCAGATACAAAAAGATGCCAGACAGCTGGAAAATTGACAGTTTAACATCTTTGTTCCAAGTTGTGGTGTGAGCTTCCCATTGGTTTGCCAGCTGCTGGCTAGGACTCCATTGCCATCTTTAGTTACAGGCAACAAATTTAACAACATTAGTACTTCTCACCTCCTGTTTCTCCCCCTTTTTTTAGCCATGACAAACTTACTATAGCATATGGGATTCTTCCTTTATTAGCCAAGAAATAGATCTTAAAAGCAGGGAATTATGCTGGAACTGTATAAAAAATTGATTAGGCTATAGCTAGAGTATTGTGTGCAGTTGTGCAATCCACATTGTAGAAGGATTGTGATTACAGTTGGGAGGGTGGAGGGGAGATTTACCAGGATGTTGCCTGGGGCAGAGCATTTCAGCTATGAAGAGAGATTGGTAGAGGAATCAGTGACCGGGGGCAGAGAGTTAGAGAGAATGAGGACTTTTTTTCACCCTGAGGGTGATGGTATTCTGGAACTCAGTGCCTGACAGAGGTGATAGGGGCAGAACCTCTCCTGGCATTGAGGTATTTAGATGTGCTGTGAGCCAAGTGCTGGAAAATGGGATTAGAATAGTTAGGTGGTTGTTTTGACCATTGGGCTGTGGAGCCTTTTTCTATGCTGTAGACCTCGATGACTGACCCTGACTCTGACAAGTGATAGAACAGTTGCTTTTCAGGCTGGAGGAGTGTATTGATTGGACTTCTCCAGGAGTCACTATAAGGACCACAGCTTTTTATGGTGAGTTGAAATTTGCACATGACACAAAATATAAGTGTATTGTAAACCGTGAGAATGATGGTGATATCCTTCAAGAAATCACAATGGGCAGATGTATGGCAGATGAAGCCAAAGCAGAGAAGTGCTTTTGGTTAGAAGTGTATTTGGTTAGAAGAATTGTAAAATTGTTATAAGGCTATAACACAGGAAGAGGTCACTTGGTCCTTCATGGCACTCTAAATGGGAAACAAAAATAGAGATTGCTGGAAAAACTCAGCAATCTGGCAGCATCTATAAAGAGAAATCAGAGTTAACATTTCAAGTCAAATGACCCTTCCTCAGAACTCTGATTTCTCTCCACAGGTGCTGTCAGACCGGCTGAGCTTTTCCAGCAATTTCTGCTTTGTTTCTGATTTATAGCATCCGCAGTTCTTTCAGTTATTTTCTCTAAATGAGAAGTTAACTTAACTGAGTAGAGACAACATGATATAAATGGTAGCATTCTAAAGGGAGTACAGGAGTGGGATAACGGGCTAGTGTATATGCACAAATCAGTGAAAGTAGCAGGTCAAGTTGAGGAAATAGTTTTTAAAAAAAAAAGTGGAATCCTGGAATTTATAAGTAGTGACATAGAGTACAAAAGCAAGAAAGTTACTTTTATGAAACACAACGCGTCATCAGCTGGATTACATCCTCACATTTTGTGCACAACATGTTAGGAATATTGAATATTTTGGGGAAAATGCAGGAAACATCTACAAACGTGGTGCTAGTGATACAGCTATACGGTAGATTGGAGGAATTTGAGTAGAAAGGAGAATCTTAAAAGGAAATTTGATGGCAAGCAGGACAGAATGGGAAATGAGGAACTGTTTACATTGGCAGAGAAGTGAGAAACCGGGGCAAGGTTTAAGGTGATTGCCCAAAGAACCAATGACATCAGGAAAACCCTCCTCTGCAAGTAGTTAGAATCCTGAAACACTGTCTGATGAGAGGAAGATATGATTGTGGATTTCAGAAGGGAATTGGATAAGCACCTGAAGGGACAATTTGCAGGGTAGTAGGAAACGGCAGTGGATTGGTGTTAGTGGAATTGTCCTTGCAGAGATCTAGCAAGTGCATGATAAGGTTTTAACCATTTTTACAACAGCCTCAAAAGATTTTGACTATTATTCCAGCGTTTCTATGAATTGAGTTTGGTTCTCGGTTTTTTAGTACTTACTAAGCTCAATTTTATGTCCTCTTGAAATTTAGGTGGTTATCAAAGAGAAGGTGCTGGAACTTTTGCTGTACTTCACAAAACATGAAGATGAGGAAGTTCAGACCAAAGCAATCATAGGGTTGGGTAAGTGCTGTAAACCATTGCTGTACTGAAATAGATTGGAAAGAGATTGAAAGGTGCTCCAGTGCAATGTGACATTCATTTTGCAATGTGCTGTTTCATTGACAGAAATGCAAAAACAAAAAGACGTGATAGGCTCATGGTAATGTCACTGAACTAGTAATCAAGAGGTCCAAGATATGAGTTCAAATCTATAGCAGCTGATGCGGCTTGAATTCAATTAGTAAATCTGGAATATAAAGCTAGTATCAGTGGTGACCATGACACTGTTGTTAAATGTTGGAAAAATGCTGTCTGGTTCACTAATGTTCTTTTGGGAAGGAATTCTACAGTCCTAACTTGATCGGGGCTATATATGACTCCAGACGCACAGCGAGGTGGTTGACTAAAAATTACCCTCTGAAATGCCTTAGCAAGTTACTCAATTCAAGGGCAGTTAAGGATGCGCAACAAATACTGGCCTTGCTGGGGACACTGACATCCAATCAAAGAATTTAAAAATTAAAACTAGAAAATTATAGAAGCACTCACAGATTTGTGGACAGAACAGACAGGCTGTGGGCCCCGGTATTTGTTCAGAATTTTAGTTCGTATCAATAATTCGCGTTTGAAATTGAGTTGTCTGGAATGAAGATTGTGCAAAAGTTCATCAGACCAATCAGGAGAATTGTTTGACCTTTGATTAACGGGAGCATGACTTTAGGAAAGGTTGGTCATGTCTCAGATGGACAACTTTCCTGTATTGCTTTTATATAATTTCAGACAGTAATGCAAATTTAAGATTAGATCTCAGTTGTGGTATCTTTGAGTCTTGTCTTTTTTAGAGGGGAGTCAGTGACCCACGCTCATTATTCAACAGTTAAAATTAAATAAGATCAGTCTTTACTTGGTTTTTCTAATTTTTGGCAACTTGGCAATCCTGTATATCCGTTTTAGATAGTGAAGTTGATGAGTGAAATACCGATATTATTTTAATAGGTTGATCATAGTAAAGTATCTGATCTCCAAATGGACCAGCTTGAGCTTTAAGTGAAAACAAATCCATTTTAATCTGGTGTCCTTGATTCACATTGCCTTTTATACAGGCAGTAGCAAATTGGGTTGACTGGAGCCATCACTCAGGACGCATTTCACATCTGATCCAAAGCTGTTGGGAGGAGGAACAAAGTCTAGGACTTCAGACACAGTGTTTTAGTTGTCTTGAACGTAAAATTTTGAACAACTAACCTGTTGTATCTGCTGCAGTGTAATTTATTTATAAATACATTAGAGTTAGGGTTAGATTTTAAATCACAAAAGATTATTATGCAGACACAGCAGGTAATTAGGAAAGCTGAAGGACTTATCAATTATTATGAGGGGAATCGAATATGAAAGTGGAAAGATTATACTTCATTTATACAGGGTATTGGTGAGATGACATCTGGAGCATTGGAATCAGTTCATAGAAAGTTGACCAGACCAATGCCAGGATTGAATGGTTGACCTGTGAGGAAAGGTTGGATAGGCTAGGCATTTTTCTGCTGCAGTTTAGAAGAGTAATGGAGCATTCAAGATTGAGAGTTTTGACAGGGTGGATGTGGAGAGAATGTTCCCTCTTGTGGCATAATTTGGAACAAGAGCTCACTTATAAATAGGAGGTTGCCCGTTTAAGGCAGAAATGAGAAGTTTTTCCTCTTGCAGGTTTGCGTGTCCTTGAAACTTACTTCCTGAAACGGGGATGGAAGCAGAGTCTTTCAAATATTTTTAAGGCAGAGAGATTCTTGTTGAGCAAGAGTGTGAAAGATTATCACTGAGTGCCAGGAATGTGGTTACAATCCTATCAGTCATGATTTTATTGAACGGCAGAGCAGGCACTTGCAAATTACCTGGACTGTTTCAATAGAACAACGGTTGATTCCCTACAGCCGTTGTCCCTTTGCTCCCTTTAGCTAAGAGCTCTCTCTTTCTTGTAGTGTCTATCGGAGTTGTTCTTGGAGTCCAATGAAATAGTGTCCATGGGCCTGTCTTCTTACAGCCAAAGCACAATGGCTGCTCTGTTAACTTTTGATAAAGTATTGTTGCACAGAGCAAAGTTAGCTATGCTGAAAAACCTGTGGTGTCTTTCTAGTCTCTTGCATTTTCAAGCTTTGAATTCTCACGCTTTTAAAAACAGTCATTGTCTCACACAGACCCCAATCTAAATGTCTCCTCAGTCTTTGATGCTGAGAATTATCAAACTGTTAGGTTTCATTTGGCTGTAGTGAATCAAGAATAAAGGTTTGTGATTCCTGGAAGCGACTTCCAGGAATACGTACATGTGTACAGGAATATAATTACAGTTGTGACAGTATCCCGTTCTCCTTGCTTTTTTAGTTGCAGCATTTTGTGTTTATTCTAATGTATGTTTGACTGTGCTTGCTGTACTATCGTCATCTATCATCATTGTCATATTGTCTATAGCGTGAGCAGGTTATGTTGCACATTAACAGCTCCTCCATGATGGTTTATTATGAGGAGTGCTCCAAGTCCTCTGGTTTTATTACAGTCTAATGTGGTTCACAGTTCATGTTTTACAAATGGGGAAAGTGATGCCAGGATCCAATATTGGAATGACCTGTCAAGAGAATTGAATGCAAACTGTGACTGTTTTTACAGGTTTTGTATTCATACAGCATCCAGATCTGATGTTTGAACAAGACGTAAAGAATTTGTACAACAATATTCTTCGAGACAAAGAAGCCTCAATTGGCCTGAAAATCCAGGTACTGAAGAATCTTCAGACATACCTGCAGGAGGAAGACTGTCGGATGCAACAAGCTGATAAAGATTGTGAGTTGTACTATATTTTAATGCATTACTGGGGTTGCCTAATCCTAACCTGAACCCAAACCTATTGCCCTTTAGGGTGCTGGTGAACTACTGCCTTGAATTGGTGCAATTTAGCTGATGTAAGTTCAGCCATACTGTTGTGGGTTGTGTGTTCCAGGACTTTGACATGATTGCTGTAAGGAAATAGCAGTATTCAGGATAGTGAGCGATTCTTGAGGGTTACTTGTATGTTGTCTTTATTTACTGTTTGGCCAGTCAGGGTATATCCTCCAATATTGAGTGTGTACACATCATTAACCCAAAGAAACAATCTACAAACTTATCTGACAGTCCTTCAACTTTGGGACAGTGCAGAAATTGGTCATGTTGACAGTTGTGATATTTGGATGTCTAATGGAGCTTGTGACTGAGTGCAGGAATAAAATGTGTCTAATATCAATTAGGATAGAGGTCCCATCTAAATAAGCTTTTGCTTTCCATTGTAGTGAATATCAGGGTGCCATTATGTTAGACTGCTTTGAACGGTTTAGTCGCACTCAGCCAACATGGGCAAAAATTTACAGTAGGCTGAGAACCCAGCTACAAAATAGTATAACTGGAATATTGTTCCTAATTTAATTCTTTTAAGATGATGCAGATGTGAACATCCCGTATAAGCAGTGCCTGCGGAAGAACAGGTTTTGAGGGAGTGATCACAACAACTGGAACAGTAGAACATAGGAGTGGTTGTAAGCTGCTCAGCTTCTCAAGCTTTTTCTGCCACTCACAGCTGATCATCTACCTCAAAGCTAATTCTCCAGGATATCCCATATACATTGATATCTTAAGAGTCTAGGAATCTATCAATCTCTATCTTGAACATATTCAATTGCTGAGCTTCCACAGCCACCTCCAGTAGAAAATTCCAAGATTCACCAACCTCAAAGTGAAGAAATTCCTCTCATCTCTGCCCGAAGTGGCTTGCCCCTTATTCTGAGACTATATCCCCTTGTTCTAGAGCCTGCATTGCTAGCCAGGTGAAACTCTATGCATCTACCCTGTCAAATAATTGTGTAAGTTCAATGAGATCACCTCTTTTTTTTAAACTCTGGAATATAGGTCCAGTTTCCTCAGTCTTTATTTCTAACAAAGTTCTACCATCTCAGGGATTAGTCTGGTGAATTGCCAGTGCATTCCCTCTGTAGAAGGTATATACCTCCTTAGGCAAAGGGACTAGTATTGCACACACACAATCCTCCAGGTTTAATATCACTGGTGTTTTATACATTGAGGTGTGACATCTTTCCTCCTGTACTCCAATCCTCTTGTGACAATTTACTATTTGCTTTTCTGATTGCTTATTTCACCTTCATGGTAGCTTTCAGTGACTTCTGAACAAGGGCACCTAGATCATTTTGTACCACCTTTGTGATCTAACCTCCTAAAGAGCCCTTACTGCAAAAAAAAGGGTATAGAAAGAAGCTTTTGCCAAAATACATCTGGTAAGGGATGCATCAGGGCTGTGAAACAGTCAGAGAGGTCTACAACAAAAAAGGCCCTTCAGCCTATCGGGTTTGCCTGTCAAAAACAACTATCAAATGATCCTAAACCTGTTTTCTAGCTCTTGGCCCACAGTCCTGCATGCTTTAGCATCGCACATGCGCATCAACCTAGTTAAATGTCATGAGGGTTTCTGCCTCTACCACCTCAAATGAGGCTTTGTGGGTAGACCTTGGGAATATAAAGGGGACAGTCACTGTTAGGAGTATATCAATTTCCCAAACATTAATTAGGATAATCGTGGTATAAAGGGTTTTGAGGGGAGCAGATTTCTTAATGTATACTGGTACGGTGGCTCAGTGGTTAGCACTGTTGCCTCATAGCGCAAGAGACCCGGGTTCAGTTCCACCCTTGGGCGACTATCTGTGGGGAGTTTGCACGTTCTCCCCGTGTCTGTGTGGGTTTCCTCTGGGTGCTCTGGTTTCCTCCCACAGTCCAAAGATGTGCAGGGTTAGGTGGATTGGCCATGCTGAGTTGCCTGTGGTGTCCAGAGGTGTGTAAATTAGGTGGATTAGACATGGAAAATACAGGGTTACAGGTAAAGGGTAGGGAAGTGGGTTTGGGTGGGATGCTCTTTGGAGGGGCAGTGTGGACTTGTTGGGCTGAGTGACCTGTTTCCACACTGTAGGGATTTTATGATGATTCTATGCCAACATGTACATGGCCGACCAAGGAAAAGAGGCATTCAAAAAGGAACTGGTGAAAGTACAGACCCAACATATTCAGGTCTGGATTTTAAAAAAAAAAAGGAAAAACAAAACTTTGAGCAGGTGCAAAGGGAGCAAATTAACGGAGTCCCTCATGAAGTGCAGGAGGGGACTTGAGAAATCAATTAGAAGAACAAAGGCAGGACATGAAAAAAAGCACTGGCAGGCAAGATTAGGAAAAATCCCAAGATATTTTATAAGTATATTAAGTGAAAGAGGATAGGCAGGAAAAGAGTAGACCCCATTAGGGGACATTCTGTGCATGGATCTGGAGGACATTGGCAGACTTATTAAACAAGGATGTCACTTCTGTGTCAGGAGAAGGTACCAAATTCAGGAAGACAGATTGTAAGGTTCTAGAGCAGATTGACCTGAGGATTGAGGAGCTTTCAGTGAGCTTAAAAGTGGACGTATCCCAGATCCAGATGATTTGTATCCCAAGCTACTGTGGGAGAAGAGGGATGAAATTACAGGGGCTTAGAACAAAGTTTTTAATTCTCCTTTGGTCACAGGGGTGCTGCCACAGGACTAGAGGACAGTCCATGTAGTTCCAGTTTTCAAGAAGGGTGGCAGAGATAAATCAGGCAATTGTAAACCAGTGAGTATCTCATCAGTGGTAGGAAAACTATTGGAGAAAATTCTGAAGGAGAGAATTAATTACCTCTTGGAGTGGCAAGGTTTGATAAGGGACAGTCAGCATGTCTTTGTCAGAGGGAGGTCATTACCAAATCAATGTACAATCATAGAATTGCAGTACAGAAGGATGCCATTCAACCCAAGTTGTCTGCACCGGCTCCCGAAAGAACTATCCAGATAGTTCCATTCTCCAGCCCTATCTCTGCAGCCCTCTAAATTCATCACTTTCAAATATATAACCAGCTCTTTTTTGAAGCCTCCTGTGGAATCCACCTTCACCACTCTCAAGCAGCACATTCTAAATCCAAACTACTCTGACTAACGAAGTTTCTCCTCATCTCACTCCTAGCTTTCTTGTTGACAGTCTTGAAATTGTGATCCCCTAGTTACTGACATGCTAATTGGTGGAAACAGTGTGTCCTTCCTTACCCTGACACCTATTAATGTCAAGCTGACAAGTCTTTAGTTTACTGGGTTGTCCTTTGCCCCTTTCTTAAAGTGTCGCATTTACAATCCTCCAGTTTCCCAAGACTAATCCTGTGTTAGGAGAGGCCTGGAAAATTTCTGTCATTGGCTCTACAATTTGCTCCCTTAACTCGCTCAACAATCTAGGATGCATCCCATCTGGCCTGGCGATTTGCTGCTTCTCTACCTGGACTGCTACCAGGCCATTGTCACTATATTCTAATTTGGTAAAGACAAAAACAAAATATTGATTTAGTTTCTCTGCCATATCTTTTGCTTTTGTGACCAGCTTACTCTGCTTGTTCCATACTCTATCCCCACTCATCTTTTGATAGTTTGAATAACGTTTTACTATTTGATTTAGCACAGCCTGCTATCCTTTCTTCATGCCTTCCTTATTCCAGTTTTAGTCTCTCTACTGCATTTGAGGTAGACTTCCCAATTTCTATTGTTGTTATTATTCAGGAATGCATAATTTCTCCTTTATCTTTATTTTCTCATCAGTATCCTTAGTCATCCAAGAAATACTCCATATTTATTTCTCATAGGTATGTGCCTAGCTTACACCCTGGTCATCGTTCTTTTGGAATTTTTCAAGATAACCAAGCATGTAGCTGAGGGTACGGTAGTTGAAGCTGTTCAAATGGATTTCAGCAAGATCTTTGACAAGTTCTCACATGAGAGACTGATATAGGTGGTAAAAGCTCATGGGGTCCAGGATAACTTGGCAAGTTGGATCCAAAATTATCTTAGTAGTCAAGACAGAGGGTGGTGGTAGAAGTCTGTTTGTGTGCTTGGAGCTACTTGAACATAGCTGTCTTGAAGAATCAGAATTAGTGGGAAGAGTCCACTTGTACATTGCAATGGGACAAGTACCCACCACTGTTTCCTTTACTATCCAAGCTTAAGTGAGCAAGTCAAGTCCACCATCTTGGACTTCTGTGTGCAAACTATTGGGCTTGTTCCGTGACTGGTTTGATGCCTTTAAAACCCAGATCTGCAGTCTCCAAGTGAAAGTCGGTTGCTTCTTCACCTAGCAAAGCCAGCCTCGCAACCAATAAATGAAGGCAATTTACCACCATCTGAAGGCTGAGGTCCAAAGATGCGTTTGTGACATGAAGAACAATTGATGACTGAAGAAGACACAAAAGCTTTCGGCTTGCATTGATCAGTATGATGTGAGCAAATTGTCCAGACACCCGAGGCAATCTCTGCACTGCCTCAACTGGACAAAATCCTCTCTGATCTCAGAATGGCTCTTGGCACCTCAAGGGGACTGATGTCATGTTGCAGCATCGGAAAGAACACTTCAACCTCCTCCCAACTCTGGTATCCAGTTTGTCAGAGGAGCTAAGAACATAGGAATAAAATTAGGCCATTCAACCCATCAAGTCCGCTCTGCCATTCAATCATGGCTGATAAGTTCCTCAACCCCATTTTCCCCGCTTTCTCCCTGTAACCCTTGATGTCCTTGATGATCAAGAACCTATCCGTCTCCGTCTTAAATGTACCCAATGACCTGGTCTCCACATGCTTCTGTGGTAGTGAATTCCATAGATTCACCACTCTCTGGCTGAAGAAGTTTCTCCTTATCTCTGTTCTAAAAAGTCGTCCCTTTACTCTAAGGCTGTGCCCTCGGGTCCTCGTCTCTCC